TTTCAATAGGGTAGAGAAAGATACCAAAATTTCAGAAAAATCGAAAAGGGTCGGTGTCAAAAGTGGTCGATTTTGCATGGAATTTTATATATTATATATATATGTATATATGAAAAATATATAAAAAATGCATGTGGGTACTCAAATGAAAGCTCTTGATTAGTGTAACATCATAATGAGCTTATATCTTTAAAAACGTTAATATTTAAGAAAGTACAGTGCAATTTAACAAAAGTCATTGTTTAATAAAGCAAAATTTTATTTTTTATAGTCTACAAGTCACGGCAGTCACGTAGTGACTGCAAGGTTGCTAGATATTATTATTATTGTAATTTTTTTGAATAAAAAAAATATTTGATTTAGATAAGTGGCGAATTAAAAATCAACGATGAATCTGTCCAAACATTTGGACCAGAAAATAACCTTTGCAGACCTTTTGAAGATGGTATGATGAAAGACATAGTAGGACCAATATTGAGCATGATTATGTTTGAGCGACAAAGTTGTCCAATTAAAAAAGTATGTAACTATTTTCTTCACATAATTTTTTTTTTCTTTTTTAATAACTGACATAATTTTTTTTTTTTTTTTTTTATTGAAGGGAACTTCTGTGGTAGTCAAATCCAACAACCCTATTACTTTGATATCAGATGATCTTCTGCAATGTGGCGATTATGAAATGAATATTCAGATCAATTCTTTGATGGAACCGGACGTCTTTTTGGAGCTTACGCTCGAGTGGACAGTGTCTGAAAGTTTACACTGCGAAAAATAATTGTTTTATTATTTATGTTTGTTGATTTTAATTAGTGATTTTTTTTAAGGAAAAATCATTTTAATGTAATAAATTTTGGTGATTAATAAAAAATTGGACAATAAAAGTATTAAGTTGGATTTTATTTTATTAAAAATTTTTAAGAAAAATTAAAAACAAATTTTTTTTTAAATTATCAAAATTTTTATTATTAAAATTTATTTTTATTTTTAGTATCAAAATTTTTGTTTTAATTTTTATAATTAAAAAATTTTCTAAATTTTAACCAAAAATAATTTAATTTTTAATAAAAAATTTTTTCAAAATTTTTGACAATAATTTCACACAGTTAACTTTAAAAAAAAAAAATAACAATTATCTTGAAAAAAAAAAAAAAGATATTTACAATTTCAAACTATTGATAAGACTTAAAAATTTCTGTCATAAAAAATTGAAACAAAATAAAAATTAACAACTCAATCATTAGTAATTAATCATTAATGATTAAAAGACAGTAATTCTGAATCAGTGTTAAATTTAATAGCCATGAAAATTAAATTAAATCAAAAAAACACTTATTAATAATTAATAAAAGTATAAAAGTGAATCTCGCATCAAAAATAATCAGTAGATTTGTTTTTTAACCAGAGTGAAGACTTAAAAAATAAAAATTACGTGTTATTTCTCGGTAAATTTCAAAAAGTATGTCTTTAAGTGCTGGATAATTAAATGACAGACAATTTTTATCTGAGGTGTCACTAAAATTAGGTGTCACTAAAATTAAATAAACTTTACTTGAGTAAAAGTGTAAGTATAGTTTTTAATGACTTAAAAGTAGTTTAGGAAAAATACTCGGATTTAAAAGTGTTTTATTTTATTGCAGGTGAAAAATTTTAATTTGAAAAAAAAAATGAAAAGCCGAAAAGCGAGATTGTGGATTATTTTTTTGATATTAATGGTTTATTCAGTGGCTGGAGGAGTTTTTTTGAATTCATTTGGAGGTGCGACAAGGCAATTTGATTCCGACCCTCATCCGAGAAAATATAGACCGCTTATTCAAAGACGACTTTATTTATCTAGAGATCGATGTTTATATGTTTTGTACAGGAAATTGTAATTAATTATTTTTTAATTAAGAATTTTTTTCTACGAAGATTGTATTTATTTTTTTATTTATAATAAAAAGAATGATAAATTTAAAAAAAAAAAAAATCATAATAATAATAATAATAATAATAATGAATTATATTTTTATATTGTGGGAGTTAGGCAGGGATAGAGTTGATATAAATTATATAAGAGCAGAACTAATATAAAACGACGTATGAATTTATTCAGTAACTAATTACAACGATAGATAAATACTTGCAACGACTTGACTCGACAACGTGTTAATAGATAAGTGACTCATCGATTATACAATATTTCGACGTGACTGCATGCGCAGTAGATCGATGCGTCGGCGCATGTGTGTGTGTAGTGTACGTGCGAATATTACTATATTACTATATCTCCTACACATATAGATCATAAAATCCCTTTTAAAATAAATATTCACATGTCTAGATTCATTAAAAAAGAAGAATCCGCGGAAAACCGCGAAAATCCGCGAATTAGAAAAATATATTCATAAAAAAATTGATTTAAAATTTTTATACGTTTTATTTTTTGCAAAAATAATTAGGAGTAATTAAACATAAGTTTTTAAAAATAAAAAACTAAATGATAATCTATATTATTAAGAGAATAAGCAAAATTTTATGGCCAGTGTATTTAGTGTTAAGTATTTAGATTGCATTCACAGAGCATCTCTACACGGGAAAAAAATTGAAGGAGTTATTACTATTTTACTATTGTAATTTTTACTAAATAAAATAGTAACGGTGGACTTTACTTCTCATTTAATAATTTTTACGATCTACTATTGTCAATTTTATCCAACAAATAAGACTAGCAAGAGTTTTAAAAAGTCGTATACTATAGAGCAAATTATACAATATGTGTTTGTGAACTTTACAATTCAACTATTGTAAAAATTCACAGTTGGTTTTTTTAAAAGAAATATTAGGGAGGGAGAGAGATAGAAGGTTGCAGGAATTGGTACCTGTACAGTAATCGAAAAAAGAAACAAATAAAATATTTTCGTGCTATCTGGGAATCGAACCCAGAACTCTGTGTTGGTAGCCAGAGACTCTCCCTTTAGGCTATCCGCGGTAAACTAAGACTCATAAGTCCTTTAACATTTATATAAACTCAGAGTCTAGCGCTGTGCACGGCCATCACTCACACTAATTGAGAGACATTCCAATTCAACTATTGTAAAATTTGCTATAGTTCTATTGGAAAGATACAGAGGCAGCACTGGAAATTTTCATCTCTTACTTTTTACAATAGTAATATCGTATTTTTTCTTCTAAAATATTTGATAATTAATTGTAATAAAGGTATAGTCTAGCTTTACAATATTTGTATCGTAAATTTTTCCAGAAATTTTTTCCCGTGTAGATACATAATTAAGAAATGACATCTTGTATCTTGTGAAACATTGACATTTTTAAAGATATAAGCTCATCCCGATGTTACACTCATCAAGACCTTTCATTTGAGTACCAACATTAATTTTTCATATATTTATATATATGTATATATGAAAAATATATCGAAAATGCATGTGGGTACTCAAATGAAAGCTCTTGATGAGTCTAACATCGGGATGAGCTTATATCTTGAAAAAATTCAATATTTAAGAAAGTCCAGTGCAATTTATCAAACGTTATTTATAAATTTTATTAAATCATTTTTTTTAAATTTATTTTTAAAAAAATTTTATTGATGCTTTTTATAAAAAATTTATAATTTAACAAATTTATTTAATAATTTTTTTAGTTAAATTTTCACCGATAGTCAATTTATTATGATAAATATTTAGATTGCATTCGAAAATACTCTATCTCTAGATACATAATTAAGAAAT